TTGTATCTTTTAGTCCTGCTTCATCTGGGAGTCTTTTGCAGAATAATGTTGATATGCAGAGTACGTATTGTGGTCATAAACTTACATTTCACCTTCCAGTTTTATTTTTCACTCTGGTCCTTTTTTCCATTTAGTTTCAAGTTTGCTTGTGGTAACACAAACTGTGTAATTTTATACAGAAACGTCTATCTTTAAATATGGAGCCTTGGCATTATCATTCAGAACCTTCAGTCTGAATGGTAACTATGTCCACTACATACCTAAGAACGTCAATTTCATCTTTTAGGGCCCTAGATTCTTCTGCCAAACAGGTCAACTCATCATTTCTATGTTGCAGCTCAATCAGTTGTTTCTCCAGATCTTCACAGTGAACACGATAATCATCCTTTGCAGCTTCAAGCCTTTTGTAAATAAGAAGCTGTTAATATATGTTCCTATCTTTTGTTCACGTAACTAATATGATCCACTTTCTACTGAAACAGTAAAAAAATATTCAAAATACATAAACGTAGCAGACACACAATAAAAAAGTATTGTCACAGGGCTATTTACTACAACCACACCATATCATATGAACAGATCTGTTAGTTTACTGTGTTAATATTTTACTTGAAGGAGTTTCTGGTTAATTTATAACTGCCGTAAAAGAACGTATGAATCACTTAGACCCAGACAATGTTGGGTTTTTATTAGTACAAATCACCACATGAAACATGTGCTTCAGTTCTTATTCTTGGTCCTGCCTTTCTCTCTCCCATCAGAGCCCACAATATTTTAGAACAGGATTGACAACCTTTCAGAAGTGGTGTGCCGAGTCTTCATTTATTCACTCTAATTTAAGGTTTCACGTGCCAGTAATACATTTTAACGTTTTTAGAAGGTCTCTTTCTATAAGTCTATAATATATAACTAAACTATTGTTGTATGTAAAGTAAATAAGGTTTTTAAAATGTTTAAGAAGCTTCATTTAAAATTCAATTAAAATGCAGAGCCCCCCGGACCAGTGACCAGGACCTGGGCAGTGTGAGTGCCACTGAAAATCAGCTTGTGTGCCGCCTTTGGCACGCGTGCCATGGGTTGCCTACCCCTGTTTTAGAAAATGGTGGAAAGAAAAGCATTAATAGTCTCAATCATCATCCAAAATGGAAGAAGTTTAGGGGAAACACTAAACTGTACCTTATATAGTTTATATTAATTCAATGACAGAGAAGCTTTTAGAATAGTGAACTGAGAAGGAAAATCCTGCATATTTAGAAGAAACTCCTATCACATATGACAACAACATTTTGAGAGATTAAATAAAGCTGCAGGTTATTTCATACCTGAAGTTTTCTTCCTGCAGTTGTTCTAGCTGCAGCTGTACATGGAAATACTTTTTTGCAACAACAGTATTTGGATCATCAAGAGAGCCATCTAACTGGTCTAATCTGTCATTCATGACCTCGTTTTCAGACATCAAGTTGTTTTTTTCATCTTGAAGGGCAGCCACCTAGTGCACATAACACAACATCAAGTTTATAGGTCCCATCCGATTGCCAAGAAGAACACAAAATAATAGATTATAAGATGCCACCAAATAATTTGTTTGTTACATAGAAGTTGAGCATTTGAAAAATTTAGGAGTGATTTATAAATACCCTTAAGCACCTAGCTGCTTTAGAGTATGAAAGTTGTCAACCAAGGAAGTGTGCCTTTTTTGTTTTGTTTTATAAATGAAAACTATCTTCTAGGGCATGTGGCATTGTAATAAATACGGGGGGCAACTGATATTTCCAGATTTTATAAAAACAAAAGGAAACAAATTTGTTATGATTAGAAACTGAACAGAAACAATAACAGTAGGATGAAGAGTATTTCCCATTTGGCTTGTGTACTAACAATAAAAAGCCGAATGGCACTGGCTAGCACACTAACACGGCACTGCCGTGCGTTCAGCCATGGATGGTTGTGCAAAAAGCAGGTCCAAGAGCCATAAGCTAATAAGCAGACACACAAAAAATCCTAGACAGCATCATATAGGGCATGCATTTTTGAAGTGACTGAACTGGTTTGATTTTGAAAGTGTTCACAGCTAAGCAAACGGGAACATAACATTACACTAAGTTGGTAAGTATATTAAAACAGCCATAAAATGGGCAAGGGTTAAAAGACGGAACCCTTAAGCTCTTTCTAGTGAAAGATGATGTGTTAATTTTTAATACTTCATCAAACATCAGAGCATATAGCATGTGTTAGTTAACTGGCACTTAAACAGTAGAATGTGCTCTTTGGGTTATGTTTTCCTGAATCATAAAGGAAACCTACCTTTCTTATATTCTTGGAAAATATCAAGGAAGACTGAGACCTTACAAGTGAATTTATTAAGAATTAGTTTAAATGAGAACGGTCAGTCATTATTATGACTTTCAATACATATGCAGCATACCATGGTGGCAATATTTAATAAGATATAAAGTTAGCATAATAATCTGAGGCAATATTAAAAGATTTTTTTCATTTATCCATGATTATACACAATTCAAGTGCCTATAATTAAATAGATGTAAAAGAAACCAACAGCACTCTCCCACCTCTTCACTGAGTACTTACTGCCTTTAAGGTCCTATTCTCTGAATCTGGGAAGCCAACTTACTGTATATTTGCAGACCTAGAGCAAATCTGTGCCTTAAGAGTCTTTTATTATTCCCTGTACAAGGCCTAATCAGTCTTCAATCATGGAGACAGTAAACACTTTTAAAAAGCAGGATGTTTATTAACTGAATGTCTCATGCATTTCCTTCATCCTCATTTCAGGTCCCTCAGAGTCCCATTGGCTGTCTCCTACTTCTTTTCAACACCACATACATTATGCTGAAACCATGGTGCACCACTGGACGATGAAATGAACAAATATGTATTGTGTAATTTCAAAAATATGGACACCTATTTTACAAAATATACTTTCCATTAACTTTAGTTACCATTTGTACATTCATGCTCAACTATACATACTTTTAACGACTACGCCTGGCCATGACATGCAAAGAGGATAGACCAACCAGATTTGTGTGAACTACCATCAACTACTCCAAACAGAAATCTATAACAGCTGTGTGGTAGTTCTGACTTCTCAAAACGATGCATGATAGGTATCATAGCAGAAGGAGAAAGGGCAATTTGGGACTGAAGCAGAAATGGCTGGTATAAAGTTACAGGCTAAAATATTTCCCTAGCCTTGCTATTTGGTAAATTCAGCACAATCATACATTTACAGTGAGTGCTATTATTTCACCTTCAGTGAATGCAATCAGTCCATTATAATGAATTGGTTCTTAATATATTTTTAAAAGGGCTCAAGCTATTGTTAGCTGAAAATAAGCATGGAACATTTTGATAAGCATTTTTACTATTCATAGCTATAGTATTGCAATGACTGATTACTAACTGCAAGATATCAAGTTATTACACCAAAAAATCTTTCATACTATGGATTAGCAATATATTTTCCAATAGTTGCAGGGGAGCTGAGCACGGATTTACATTAAAGGATAATATTTCCAACAATCACATGTATGAAGCATTTCAGCATGTGGAAGCTTTGTTCAGTACAAACTGAAAAGGCTAAGAACTTATAGGTGAAATTTAACCTCTAAAGACATTGCATTTTGCAACTGTTTAACAGAGCTTCTATTTCTTAATGTCACATATTTGAAAAAGTATGTTTGTGTCTCCTTACCTGCAGGTCTAGTTCTTGACATCTTTGCTTCAGTTCTTCTTTTTCTGCTAGTGCTTCTTGAAGGTCTTCAAGGGCTCTTTTCATCTTTAAAAAAAAAAAAAAAAAAGATTTCATGCAAGTTAGATATATTGAAATTAAGATTATTTTATATGCTCCCTATCTGTACGAGGAGGGACATGTAAGATAGATATGACAGAGAGAGTAAGGCACATCTCTGCTGCAAAAACAAACAGAAAAACTGTAAAACCAGGTTCTGAGATTTGCTGCCACAGGGGTTTGTGTTTTTGTTTGGTTGCGTTTTTTTTTTTTTTCCCTCCGGTGTAGACGTACTCGAAGTGACTTGCTTGCCTAAGGTCAGAGAGAATCTGCAGCAGGGCAGAGGATTGAATCTGAGACTCCAGCAGACAAGACTAGCAACCAGGCTACTGACCATCTTTCCTCTGATAGCTATAGAAGGTCAATGTCATCATAGGGGAAGCATCTGAGCTCTTTCTTGGGGAAAGAGTGCTTTTAAATTAACGATAATTCTACTTCAAGAACAGAACTCTGGGTGTTTGGGTTCACACAGAACTCAAATATTTTCTAAGATCACTCTGCAGTATGCACTCATCTGTACTTTCTAACCTTAATGGAGGTTGACAGCACTTACTCTTTGCTCTTCCTGTCACATCCTCCTGTAGTCTCTACTCAGGCAACAGAGATGATAAGATCAGCCATTTCACGTCTTTTAAAAAAACGCTAAGTTTATGTGCACTGCTTTACTCAGTCATTCACCTACCTCTAGCACTATGGGTGACAATGAAAGATAAGAGTTAAATTTACTCTAACTTCCTAGTGTAGCATCAGCATGTTGCTCTGCCCTTTGTGAAATACAAGTCTGGGCATTGATTTTGGTAAGCTGGTCTGAGGGAAACAACAACAACTGGCTGGTAAAGCAAGAAGCAAGTTAATTTGTACGGATGAAGGACTGAAACTTCTTTCACTGGGAGATGATGGGAGAGGTACCTTTGTGTCTACTCTCTGAATTTACAAGCACGGTACGATGTGAATAAATTATTTTTGAAACTCTTAACATTATTTGACTATTATAACAAACATAAGGCAATTACCTGTTGCTCCATTTCACCAGATGTATCATTTGTGACAGAACTCAGTATTTCCTTGCTCATGAGCTAAAAAACAAAAATGGCACATAGATTAAAATAGTGCAAATAGATATACTATAGAGCGAGTGGCTTCTGGTGTTGAATTAGATTCCACCTCTCCCCAATTTAACTTCAATAGTTGTTAGTGTGACAGATACAGCAGTTTCCTGCATATCCTTGGGAAACCTTATTGAATCAAGGTTAAGTATCTTTGGGGTCCATTGTATTAAATTAATGGTTTATGTATTATTGTGAACCAGGACTGTACATAACTTTTCTAAGGGGGAGATGTGATGTGAGGCCTGGGAGTACAAAGGATTATATTGAAAATGTGCCACACAAGAACGGACTTTTGGGATAGCAAGTATGAAGTGGATTTCCTGGGGAATACGTAGGGAGAGGTTAATGCAAATTCCCACCTCTGCTTATGCAAAAACTCAGCCTTCTGAAACTATGCCCTAAGGAGTGGGCCATGTCTGCTGATTATCTGTTCCTGGAGACAGGAGATGGAAGGCCCGAAATATACCAAGAAACAGTGAACTGCCCAGCCAGGGTTCTGAACCTGAGACAGCTATGAACTTGTAACCACAGAGAAAACCCAGGTGTGGGTTCTGAAGGACTGAAACCTATCAGAGCTTGAGTCTGGAGTTGGCAGTGACCACTGGTAAACTTTTTAGCATGCATGAAGGTTCTTTTATTATTTAATATGTTTTCTCTGTAATGCTTTCACATTAAGACTAAAGAAAGAGTGGTGTGGTAACTTATGATTGCGAGCCATGCACTAGTCATAGCTTCTGGGAAAAAAAAAACAAAGTGCAGACACTGTCTTGCTGGGGATAACAGTATAGGCAGGGAACCATGAAGCCTAAAAGAACCGCCAGTCAGGAGAGAGTGAGATGTGGGTCTTCATGCTAGAGAGGTGATGGCATGGAGCTTAGAGTGGATGCCCTTGGTGGACCACGGAGAGGGAATACAGATGCAGTTGCTCTGAAGCTGGGACAGTTAGTATTTGAGTATTATACTGTTACACTTAACTAGTAATTCAAATCTACAGTACCCAGAGAAAGTACTCTGTTCTTTTAACGAAACAGGTGTAGTAGCTTTATGGGTTAAATGTTGGTCCCACTGAAATCAATGGCAAAACTCTCATCAATTTCAACGGGGACGGATGTTCACGCAATGAGTTTAACCAGCATTAGCAGCTGTCACACTCCAGTGTTTCTTAGATCAATTGTCATGGAGGGAACAACTGGAAGACTAGTATAGAGTACTGGATACTGTGTTTGCCAACTATCACAGCTAATAAGCTCTGCCTCTTACTCAAATCTTTTGATTAAAAAAAAAAAAGTTATAGTGATAGACCCAGACTTTAACCAGAAGAAAAGTTCAATTAGTCAAAATATGTAGCAAACAACATTCTGATTAGCAGAATTATATCTACACACAAAACCTTAGTACCCTTAAACAGAACTGGTTTCTTAACTATTGAAACAAAAGTTGTACTAGGTTTTATTACTGGATATATTTTCAGTGCAGGATAGGTGTTAGTAGAATCATAGAATCATTAGGGTTGGAAGAGACCTCAGGAGGTCATCTAGTCCAACCCCCTGCTCAAAGCAGGTCCAACCCCAACTAAATCAGGACCAACCCCAACTAAATCAAAGAGCTCCAAGTAAACCAGACTTCACCAAACTCAGAGAACTGGTAGGTAAGGTAACATGGGAAAAAGTTCAGGAGAGCTGGTCCCATGCAGAAGTCAGAGCAGCTTAAGGGCTGCCCTAACTTCCATCTGCTTTTAACAGCCCCCTAAGGACCAACACTCAAGTGAGAATCCTCAGAACACAAAGTGTGCTCTGGCACAAGAGCTGACTTGAGAACAGATAGCATAGAGCTGTTTACAAGACACAAGGGGAATGCCCAACTGCCTTTAAGGAAGCTTTCTGGTTCCTTTTTGCTGGTGATCAATGCAAAACAGCAGGAGAGGGAAGAGGGGCAGGGTGTAAAGATCTGGCTCTATATATTTACATTCAAGCTTTCCTGTTGAAAGTTTTAGGCTATTTATATATGAATTATTACTTGCCTCTTGAATAGCAGCCATAACAACATGTTGAACAGACTCTTCCAGGGTCATTATATTTTGTATATGTTCTGTAATGGAGAAAAAGTATTTTCAATAATTTACTTATGACAACATTTACTGTAAAATGGCTTGAAGTGGCATATGTTCTGCCCTTTCCGCAAAGCGGATATCAATGTATAATAAAGACCATGATAATTCTATGACAAATCATTTCCAAAAAAGTTATTGCTCTTATTAAAAATAGTTTCAGTGATGCTGACATATTAGTAAATATGGAGTGAGGCCCTATATATGTAGGCCCAATTCTCTCATACGTTTACCCACATAATTTCAACAGGTTGCATCATATGGAAGTTTGCAAGATTAGATTAAGGACAATTTTTTCCTTCCGAGGTAGGCATATAGCTCAGAGAGAATTTGGCCCTTTGAACATCCTATGACTAGAATATTACTGCAAAATGTTTTTGACTGCTAACTAAGAAAAAAGAAGAACGAATGACCAGATCTAAAGCTTTACAATGCAACCTTTTCCACAAAGGCACCTGTTTCATAGCTTATGTTATGTATAACAAAAGCTGTAATTTCTATTTACAGCATTTCACAACCCAAAATTAAAACTACTATTTAAGTCAGAAGGGCTTCGTTTAAACTCACAAGAGACCAAAATTCAAACTAAGGCTTTTCATTCCAGTATGAAAGTTGTAAATTTTGCAACACGACATATTAGAACAATTTAACATCTTGTTTACCATAAGTACTTCTAAAATTTACAGTATATACAAAGGAGTGAAAAGCCTTTAAATATCTACATTTCCAAAGTTTTGCAAGTTTTCATTTGACCCTATTATGTCAGCTTTATTTGGTTTGTTTGAGTTTTCAAATTTTTTGGTGGAGAAAAACTTGTCACTGAGATAGCACATGAAGTGCGATAGACGAAATGTCATCACTAATGCTTTAATTCTCAATGCAGGATGATACCACCTGGCTTTCTAAATACTCACTGATGCAAGATTTTAAATTAAATGACTATTTTTTTTATTGAATAATCAAAGTGTTTTCCTGTACTGTAATGGGTGCTTATGTGGGCATTAACAAACAAAAAGCAACCACCTTAGACCTTTGCAGATAAATAAGAGATAGCTTAAACTATTAGTTTTAAAATGTATTCATTTGTAAATTTTATGCCTGGGCACATATTTTGTTATCAATCTGGGAATTTATATAGTATAAGTAATAAATGTAAAAACCACTTTCCAGTCCACTTTAAACAAAAAATATTTGACGCCAGATTAAGATCCTGTATGCAGACACACTTTCTAAAGTTATTATTAGTTTTCACAAACTCCAATTTCAAAAAGTTTATGATAATAATATTGTATAACACATTAGCAGAAAGAGGCTAATACCTACTGTTTGATTCAGGAACAGAAAGTATTTTTTAAATGAGACATCAATTCCATCTTATTCTCTATGCATGCTACTATTTGTTATTTCCTAAAGTAAGGGTGGCTTGAGGAGGTTGTTTGTTCCTAGGTATATCTTCAACAGGTGAAAACAGCATGTACCTTGTTTCTTTTCACAGTTGACTGCACAACCTAGAATAAGCTGCAGTAACCTGCCCAGCTCTGTAGGATCCGAATGTTCAGATATCTGATTTAAGTCAGGAACAAGTTCTTCTGAAATCTGCTGACCTAAAAACTGTAAAATATAAAAGGTAAGTTTGGCATTTCAATTATATGCATGATGAAGATTTAGCATCCATATACATATTCATCCATCATGCAAAAAGATCTGGCCTGGGAAACACAGTCTGGACAAAAAACTGGAGATATTACTGGAGGTAAATATGACTTTGGAGACAGATGAGGAAAGACCCTGGACACTACTTTGGGTTACTATAAACAGAAGAACTAGTTAAGTCTGTGACACAGCCTTTTGCCTAATGGTAATACTCAGGTAGCAATACGGAATTAAGGAAATAAGACTATGAAGAAAAATAGTAAGAAATTTGAAAAGGACTAGAAAAACAAAATAGCTGGAGGGATGTATAGCTTTAAAGCAGTATCTCCAGGAAACCCCCCCCCCCCCAAAAAAAAACAACACACACACAAAACACACTTACACCACCAATGAAAATATGCCATACTATATATTAATACAAAAAGGCCTACATTACAGCTAGATACTACGGCCATGAGTTCCTTAAAACGGATATGCAATAGCAATGCACTAACTGCATAAAGTTCAGGGGGTTTATACCTGCTCAGCCCCTTGCACATAAATATTATATGATCACTAGTTACATGTTCCTGGAACAGGTGTGCAGTAATACAAAATACCTTTTCTACATTTTAGATCAGTGGTCTCCAACCTTTTTACGCCCAAGATCACTTTTTGAAGTTAAGAGCAACCCAGGATCTACCCCTTCCCTTCCTTGAGGCCCCGCCCCTTCCCCAAAGTCCTGCCCTACTCACTCCCCCCCTCCCTCCCCAGTCACTTGCTCTCCCGCACGCACACCCACTTTCACTGGGCTGGGGTCGGGGGGTGGGGTTCGGGAGGGGATGCGGGCTCTGGACTGGGGCCGAGGGTTTCACAGTGTGGGAGGGGCTCTGGGCTGAGCCTGGGACAGGGGGTTGGGGCTCAGGAGGGGGTGAGGAGTGCAAGCTCTGGGAGGGAGTTTGGGTGCAGGAGGGGGCTCCAGACTGGTGCAGAGTGTTGGGGTGCAGGAAGGGGTATGGGGTGCTGGCTCTGGGAGGGGGTTCAGGACTGGAGTGTAGGAAGGGGTGGAGGTGCTGGTTCTGGGAGGAGGGTCAGGGCTGGGGCTTGGGGTGCAGGAGGGGGTTCAGGGTGCAGGAGGAGATATGGGGTGCTGACTCTGGGAGGGGGCTTAGGGGTGGTGTGGGGTGCTGGCTCCGGGAGGGGGCTCAGGTGCAGCCTCCCACCGGGCAGCACTTACCTCCAGCAGCTCCCAGTCGGTGGCGCAGCGTGGCTGCCCCTAAGGCAGGCTCCCTGCCGACCTCGGCCCCACACCACTCCTGGAAAGGGCCAATGTGCCCCTGCGGCCCCTGGGGGGGCGGGAGAGCGGGTGGCACGTGGCTTTGCGCACTGCCCCTCTCTGCAAGTACCGCCCCCGCAGTTCCCATTCCCGGCCAATGGGAGCTGCGGGGACGGTGCTTACAAGCAGGAGCAATGTGTGGAGGGAGACCCCTGCCCCCAGGGCCGTGGGCCGCCCTGGCCGCTTCTGGGAGCAGCGTGGGGCCGGGGCAGGCAGGGAATCTGTCTTAGCGGCAGCCCAGCTGCACAGCTGGAGATCGCGATTGACTGGGAGATCTTCCAGGATCGACCAGTCGATCATGATCGACCGGTTGTTGACCACTGTTTTAGATAAAACACAATTTACGAACTTAGTAGAAGGGAAGGACATAAAAAAAGTAGTCTGTTTACATTATTATATTGTGTTTGTCAAATGGAAGGTGGTTATCCTGCACATAATCACAGAATGAAGTATCTTTTTGTTTAAAAAAAAAAGATGATGTGTTCAAGCAGGCAGAATTAGGGTTATTTTGGGAATCCTAACTTTAAACTGCCTCACTTTATAGCAATTCAAGGCTCAAGATTGGGTGGTGTATTAACAGTTGTCATTTAGTATCCTTTTCTTAACAATCAATCAAACAGAAAAAGTACTGTGATCAAATTATTACTTTGTCAAAATCTGCATGTGCATTTATTTAAGTGTCTGATCAATTTATTCAAGTGTTTTGCCCCCTCCATGCAAGTTTTCCAAAACAACTTGCCTGGGGTCTTAGAACAGAGATTAGAAATTTCAGCTTAAGAGATTGCTTTGGAAAGTGATAATAAGGAGCTTTAAATCGAAGTGACTATCTCAGTCACGAGTAAAGTAAAATTATCCAAGGAGTAAGTGGATTCTGGCAAAAATAAATACAGATTTTGAAAGCTTACTGTGGAGAAAAGTAACTAAGTGATTAAATGTCAAATAAGATTATCCTTGCTTATGTAAAAAAAATGCAAAAAATATATTGAGAATGCTGCATTAAAAGCTAAGAGAATCTGTTTTTTCTATTAGCAGAACCTAAGAGCAGCAGCACAACATGTTTCACGGGATGTTTTCGCCCCAGGGATTTCTCATCCAAATACTTATAAGGCCTCGCCCGGGTTAGCTTTTAAAGCCAAACAAGGTCACATACTTTCCCACAAAAGGATGCTTTTATAAATAAGCAATATCAAAAACCTCACTTTCTTCTTATATGGCAGCAAGCATGTTTCTGCAGGATACGCAATTATTAATGTCATAGTAAAAAAGCAGAATCAGGCCGTGGAGAATTTCACTTGCAGCTGGCCAAACATGTCTGCTGCTAAAAACATAATGGATTAGACAGCGTAAATTCATAGTGTTGAGTTCCACAGAGTTGCCATTACTTGGTCAAGTCATAGCATGTTTGAGAAATACCCATCACTCCACCCAAACAAGTTTTACATGTAACTTCAGTATTTCTCTATTGAGAGAATTTTCATTTATACCACGCTCTAACACACATTTCACAAAAAGAGTATCATTATAGGAACAGTTTAGTATTATTCTATAGTCGGGATTAACTTTAGCGAAAAAGACCAATCCTTATTTGTTATATGAACAAAACTGCTGCTTTTTCCATACCTCATGATAGTAGTCCATAATTCCTTGCAGAACCTTTTTCAGATTACTGGCCTAACAGTGTATAAAAGATAACATTGGTTATATGCTACTATTAAGAATAGATACTTTTCTCAGACCAAAAAAAAAAAAAAAATTTAATTTGACTGCATTTTATTTTCATTTAAAAATCTACACAGTTTTATGAGAAAAATATGTAATGATGCTGGGAGAGAATTAAGATGAGAAAGGAACTGCATGTGAAGCATAGATCATGGTAAAATATGTTTAAGTCAGTTACATACAATTTGAATGTGTGTCTTAATTATTGATCTTTTTGACACCCCCCCCTCAACACTATAACATAGTAATATTAGATAAACTCGGGAAACATCGTCCAAAGCGACTGCAAATAGCTTTTGCCGACTTTCATTTTTGGTACCTTTATTCTCCAGTTGTCACCAACATCTTCTTTAATACGGCTTAGCCATGATTCATCAAACCAGGCAACATCTCTAGAATAAAAGTAAACTGTATTTACTAAACATTAAAATGACATAATTCAAATGAGACATCAGACCTCCAGCGTTAGTTTTCTATTAGAAAATTCACTACAGTATCCGAAGAGGTACATTATTGGAAATTTTCTGTCCTGGAGAGTGAATTCTACTGAACAAGACATCAAAGCTAGGTAGTGAAGACTCTCCACTCTGCAGGGCAGAAGGAATTTTGAGGCTTCAAGAATATAGTTCAGGGGTGGCCAACCGGCGGCTCCTGCCAGGAGCCAACTCTGGGAAAAAAATGGTAGGTTCTCAGCACCCACCGGTAGTCCTATCAGTCCCCAGCCCCTCCCGCCTGCTGATGCCCCCCCCTCCCCATCAGCGCCTGCCCCTCCTGATTGTCCGCCACGGCGATCAGCTGTTTCGTGGCGTTGCGGCTCTGGGAGGGAGGGGGAGGAGCACCCAGCCCCCCTCCCTCCCCCAGCACCTCCCGACATGATCAGCTGTTTCGTGGCATTGAGGCTGCTCTGGGGGGGGTAGGAGGCGGGGCTGGGTGTGCGTCCTCGCTCCTCCCTCTCCCTCCCTGAGCCACCTCAACGCCGCAAAACAGCTGATCGCGGTGGGAGGCGCTGGGGGAGGGAGGAGCGAGGACCTGGTGCACAGCCTCCCCCCGTCACCTCCTCGTCTGTCTCCTTGCCTGCTGCCCCTGTTTCGCACCAGGAGGCTCTGGGAGGGAGCAGGGAGAAGCAAGGACACATCTCACTGGGGGAGGGGGCGGAATGAGGCAGGAAGAGGCAGGGCAGGAAGGGGCAGGGTTGGGGTGGGGACTTGGTGAAAAGGGTGGAGTGGGAGGCGGGGCCTGGGGCAGAGCCAGGTGTCCAGCAACCCCTGGCTGGAGCCTGGTCTCCTTCAATAAAGTACACAGTGACTACTAGCTGGTGTGGAAATTTTTAATCAAAATTTTTCTTACGCCATCTAACAATGGAAAGCAAGTGCAAACGGAAAAGCAAATACACAGATGAAAATCGAGGCTTCCAACAGGAGTGGGAGCATAACTACTTTTTCGTTGAACGTAATGGTAAGGCCATGTGTCTTCTTTGCCAGACGTGTGTCTCTCAGTTCAAATCTTCAAACTTGCAGCATCATTTCGCTTCTAGCCATGCACATATGGATCAAGAATTCCCACAAGGTTCTAAACTCTGCACTTTAAAACTGAAAATTTTGAAAAAAACAAACAGATGTAGAAGCCCAATTCTTCACCAGATTTGCCAACCGATTGCAGACTGTAACCTTAGCCTCCTATTATGTGGCCGGGCACATAGCCCGTATAAAAAAGCCCTACTCTGAAGGCGAGTTTATAAAAATGTGCCTCACTGATAAGATTGAAATCACATCACCAGAGAACGAGAATCTACAGAAGAAAATTTCTGCCTGCAGCTTTCACGCCACACAACAGAACACAGAATCTCCGACCTGAACAGTGACACTGAATGGCTACTGCACTGGCAACTTCAGCAGCGTGAGTATTTGAGCATCGCTTTGGATGAGTCGTGCGATGTACAGGATAAACCTCAATTATCGGTATTTGTCAGGACTGTGTCTGACGACTGTGTTGTAAGGGAAGAACTCCTGGATATCGTCCCACTAAAAGACAGAACTCGTGGACGAGATCTAAAGGAGGCATTGACGTTGCTAGTTGCGAAACACCACTTCCCTTTACAGAAGCTCACTGCCATTGCAACAGATGGGGCTCCATCCATGTGGGGATCTGTGAATGGATTAGTAGGGCTTTGTAAGTCTGACGAGAGCTTTCCCAAATTTTGGACATTTCACTGTATTATTCATCGGGAAAAACTGGTATCTAAAAATCTCAAATTTGATTACGTCATGAAACCAGTCTTGCACATTGTGAATTTCATTTGCTCAAATGCACTCAATCACAGACAATTTCAAAATCTAGTCAAAGAACTGGATGAAGACGACTTCCCTGCTGATTTGCCATTTCACTACACAGTTCGATGGCTCTTGAGAGGTAAAGTTATTTCCCGTTTTTTCGAGCTCCTGGAACCAGTAAAATTGTTTATGGAGGAGAAGCAAAGAATACACCATGAGCTTACAGATCCTGGGGGGGGGGGTTCTAGACTTGGCATTTCTTGCAGACATGCTGCTGCATTTGGATAAACTAAACGTGGACTAACAACGAAAATTCCGGTTGCTGTCTTATCTAGTGCAAAATGTATTTGCGTTCATGAACAAACTGCAGGTGTTTCACAGACAAATCCTTGAGGAAGAGCTGACACACTTTCCCTCAATGTCATAACTTCCAGACAGATCAAAAGAAGATGCAGCAGAACCCCTAAAACAGAGCACAACTAGAAATGCGAGCATGATTAAAGATCTTAAGGACAGTTTTGAGGAAAGATTCCAAGATTTGCAGCAGAAAAGACCTCAAATCAGATTTCTGATTGACCCTTTTAGTGGTAAAGCCGATTGTCTGAAGCCCCCTTTAGTTACTGACGAAGCAACATCCCAGATGGAAATAATAGAACTTTTGAAAGATGACAGATTCAAATTTGTTCAGAAGACAGAGGGGACCCTTACTTTCTGATAATCTGTGCCAAAGGATAAATACCCCAACATCAGAGGTGCGGCCCTAAAATTAATCTCGACGTTTGCCTTGACCTATCTTTGCGAGTCTGTTTTCTCAACACTCAAACATGTGAAATCCAAGCACCGATCCGTTTTGACAGACAGCCACTTAAGAGGACTGCTGCGTGTGAGCACAACTGAACACAAACCAAACTTCAAGGGAATTGCTGAAAGCAAAGATTGCCAGAAGTCCCACTAAGTAAAACATTAAGACAAGTTGTTGTTATTATCGTTAACTATACATTATAAATGCATAATAAATATACATTATCAAATTATATAATGATTGTGTGTGTGTGTGTGTGTATATATATATATATATATATAGTGACAGACCCAGACTAGTGGGGTACAGGAGTCTGGTAGAGGGCAAATATACTGGTCACTGGATGAGTAGTTTTCTGTTCCCTGAGCGACCAGAGCAGGGGCTGCACTAGAGTAATCAGGAACCTGCTAGAACAAGTTAAGGCAGGCAGGCTAATTAGGACACCTGAAGCCAATTAAGAAGAAGCTGCTAGAATCAATTAAGGCAGGCTAATCAGGGCACCTGGGTTTTAAAAGGAGCTCACTTCAGTTTGTAGTGTGAGAGTGTGAGGAGCTGGGAGCAAGAGGTGCAAGGAGCTGAGAGGGAGAGGGAGAGGGAGTGCTGCTGGAGGACTGAGGAGCACAAGCGTTATCAGACACCAGGAGGAAGGTCCTGTGGTGAGAATAAGGAAGGTGTTTGGAGGAGGCCATGGGGAAGTAGCCCAGGGAGTTGTAGCTGTCATGCAGCTGTTACAGGAGGCACTATAGACAGCTGCAGTCCACAGGGCCCTGGGCTGGAACCTGGAGTAGAGGGCGGGCCCGGGTTCCTCCCAAACCTCCCAATTGACCTGCACTGTGGGTTCTTCCAGAGGGGAAGGTCTCTGGGCTGTTCCCCAACCCACATGGTGAATCTCTGAGGCAAGAAAATCCGCCAATAAGCGCAGGACCCACCAAGATAGAGGAGAAACTTTGTCACAATATATATACACACACACATATGTATATAATCATTACATAATACTGTGGCTCTTTGGCAATGTACATTGGTAAATTCTGGCTCCTTCTTAGGGTCAGGTTGGCCGCCCCGATATAGTGAATTAAAATTAAAACATAAATATCTAAAATATTTCTTTATTGTGCCTAGTTTTTGTGCTTTGTAACATCAGACAAAAAAAAATCATGTTTATGTTTATTATAAACAATTAAAAAAAATCTGAACTGTCAAAAGCCAGCTACAGCAATTACAGTTAGTTAACATATTTATACACTTATGCTATAATAATTTAATTAGTCAAAAGAATTAGGAAAGAAAGTTATTTGTTCTAGATTGTCATTTTACATAACTTTTTGTATTTCTTTTTAGAGCCACTAATGTAAAGCTGTCCCACTGAATGGATCTTGCTTTCATTAGGAGACATTTAGAGACTTTAAAGGACCAGTCCATATGCATGCTATTAGTTTACCAATGGAACCTTTTAACAATATTGGAACAAGTTATTAATCAATTTGTAAGCACGTAGAGGATAACAGTGTTATAAGGAATAGCCAGCATGGGTTTGTCAAGAACAAATCATGCCAAACCAACCTAATTTCTTTCTTTGACAGGGTCACTGGCCTAGTGTAGAGGGGGAAACAGGATATATGATACATCTTGATTTTAGTAAGGCTCTTGTCACAGTCTCACAAGTCGTTCTCAAAAACAAACTAGGGAAATGTGGTTGAGATGAAACTCCTATAAAGTGGGTGAAGAACTGGTTGAGAGACCGTACTCAAAGAGCAGTTATCAATAGTTCGTTGTCAAACTGCGAGGATGTAGTTACTGCAGGAAGATGCTAATTAATCTCTGCTGACTGTGGTAGGTGCAGTTTGTTAACCCAGACAAGATACAGAGATGGGTGCTGCCCCTTTGGTCAGAGGATCTAGGCAAAACAGCCCTCAGGGAGCAACCCTAAGAGCAGCCAAACCCAAGGAGTAATTTTGGGCTTTAAGTTGTGTAACTTCACGTTGAATCATTTTGTTACAGCCAAACCCTAAGAAGGTGGTTATCTTTGCCCTTATATAACATGTGCATACTATGTTTTGGAGTATGCTGGGAAAAGCACCTGCTTACACTTATCAAATTGCTAATCATCAAAGCTGTGTTTTAAAACAGGGTATGGCTCCGCATTAAACCCTTCTTTTCTTATCGGAGCCAGTGGTAAAGAGACATAACACTATTTCAGTGACAGTCAGATGTTCTGATCTTGTGTCTGAGCTGACTGCAGTTTCAAACAGTGGGCATGCCACCAAAGTGACATGTCCACTAGTGTTTAACTCCACTCTGCCACTCCAACCCCAATTCGCTGTTGAAATCTTAGCAGGACAGAAAAATATTTTCAATATCCCTCCCATTTTTTAAATAGGGGTTTTCCCATGACAGCTTCAATACTTGAACTATAAAAGCTCCCAATTACCCTTAAAACATAATGGTCAAGGAGTTGGGCAAACCCAATAGCAGTACTACACAAAGACATGTAGGTTGAATTTCCAGTTCCTCTCTCTGAAAGGAAAGTAGAGCAAGGACTCAAGCACTGATATCCATGAAAATGGTGTCAAAGAGAAATGATGATCTTGTACTCCTCGCACCATGAATACTGCTATTGGGAATTTAGGGATAGTTTATCCCAATTAATTAACTGAAAAAACAAAAACAATTCATGAAGACACAGACAGAAAAGAGAACAGTGATGATCCTAATGTTTGTATTTCATATCATTTTTTCCACCATGAACAAGACACAGCAAAGATTAGATGTATGCTCCCAAAACATTTTCCCATTAGACTATTCTGTAATAAGGAGACAAGATGGGTGCGTTAGTATCTTTTATTGGACCAACTTCTGTTGATGAAAGAGACAAGCTTTCAAACTCCTGAAGAAGAGCTCCGTGGAGCTCAAAAGCTTGTCTCTTTCACCAACAGAAACTGGGCCAATAAAAGATATTAACTCACCCATCTTGTCTCTCTCTTACCCTGAAACCAACACAACTACAATACTGCAAACATATTCTGTAATAAATCAAATTTCCATAGCAAATTAGTTCTGAACAATCTATGGGATATAAGGGAAAATCTGTGCTTCAACTATGTTTATACTAAAAAAAGCCAAACCAAAAGCTCTGAGGAAAAGAGAGTGGAGAAATTACTCCAAACCATCCACTCTATCGTGTTGTTGATATTCAGTCATAGTGACACTGTAAAGGCATCTTTTTCGCTCAATTATAACACCCGTATCATACAAGTTGAGATATGTAACATTTTCTAGGAAGATATACTTTGTTATTCTGCATATCTGGCACTTTGGAAAAAGTGTGAAACCTAAATAAGAATGTAGAGTAATTTGATATATACTTTTTGAACTTAACTGTCAACTTACATTTGATGAAGTACCTGTGCCATTGCAACACCATTTGTCAAGTCTTGAACATCTTTGCAGGGTCCAGAGGTATTAAATGTCTGCAACTAAAGAAAGGCAAACAATATGTTTCCAGTTCAACATAGAAAGAGACAGGGAATTAGATGCAATTCTCTATTTTTCCTTAGTATGAAACATTAGTAAAATGCCTCTTTATTTTAAGTAGCCTGGAACATCAAAATCTCTTCCACAAACTGAATAATTTGTAAACTAAGCCAATAAACTATTCCTGCTCAATACTTTGACAGAAAGGCAATTACCAATATTGGTTTAAAATGTTCAAATATGCTGACCCAGTGTTTTTCCATAGTAGTGATATTCCTATCTCTCATTGTAAACTCAACTTGTGAATTAACATCAATTTGAGAGACTGGTGTAACATTTACTTGTTTCTTAAATTAGGTGATAAAGCTTTCATTTTGGACGTTTAAAACCCTCATCAAAAATTTGCTTAAAAATAATAAAAAGGGAGGCATCAAGAGAAATATTCTAATTTCAAACAATTCCAATGCAATCCTTCATAATGTATATGTTAAATCAGGGGTAGGCAACCTATGGCACGCGTGCCGAAGGTGGCACACGAGCTTATTTTCAGTGGCACTCACACTGCCTGGGTCCTGGCTACCAGTCCAGGGGGCTCTGCATCTTAATTTAATTTTAAATGAAGCTTCTTAAACATTTTAAAAACCTTATTTACTTTACATAAAACAATAGTTTAGTTATATATTATAGACTTATAGAAAGAGATCTTCTAAAAACGTTAATGTATTACTGGGACACGAAACCTTAAATTAGAGTGAATAAATGAACACTCGGCACACCACTTCTGAAAGGTTGCCGACCCCTGTGTTAAATATAAATGTCCACCTCCCTTAAGACCTCTAAGATTATTGGGAAAAAAAGTTATATAAAAACAGATGGAGATGTGTGCTTTTGGGTGGGGAAAAAAACGTACGGCTAAAGAACAGTTATCGCATTCTTCAATCATTCTTAGTTGTTTTCATATTCTTAGAGTGTGCAAGTATTGCATATTGGAAATATACTTGCTTGGAACATGGGAGACTCCAAAGTCATCCTTACATTTTGGACTCCATATCAAACATATAACTAAAATTCACAAAACCCTTCTTTAACATACAATAGTACTTTGAAGCTTTTACAAAAGAGCTGGAATACAAGACCAGGAGAAAGGTACATAACAGACAATGAACATTTGAATTTCCTAATGGTTGTATATAAAGAAGCGTTTCCCATTTAGTCTCTCATGGCTGGATACACAGTAACTATAATTTTATTTTTGTTCATATATTTCTATGTTAAGAATAAACATCACAGCCCCATATTCCACCTACCACCCTTCATCTCTCCTATGAAAACTGGTATTATAGGAGCTGATAGGGGGAGATGGAAGTGTTAGGCAACCTAACACCTTCCATTATAAAAATGTCTTGAAACCTTTTAAGAAGCTCTAACACTTCCATTTTGAGTTTGCAACCTAATTAGACATCTTTTAGTGTATTTTTGAATGAAATTACTATTTATATTACTGTAGTGCCTAGAGGCTCCAATTAGAATCAAGGTCCAATTGTGCTAAATGTTACACATATACATATTGACAGACAATCCCTGCCCCTAAGGGCTGGTCCACACTACCCGCCTAATTCAGCGGGTAGAGATCAATCTTCTGGGATCGATTTATCGCGTCTCATCTGGACGCGATAGATCGATCCCAGAAGCGCTCCCCCGTCGACTGCGGAACTCCTGCTCGCCGAGAGGAGGAAGCGCTGTCGACGGGGGAGCCTGCCTGCGCCGCGTGGACCCAAAGTAGGTACTTTTAGTTCGATATAGGAAACGTCGACTTCAGCTACACTATTCTCGTAGCTGAAGTTGCGTTTCCTATATCGATCCCCCGCCCCAGTGTGGACCAGCCCTAAGAGTTTACAATCTAAGGGCTCAATCATTGCAAAGTCATGAGCCCAGGGTAAGGGATAGTGTTCTGTTATGCTCCACCAGGAGCAGCACAAAACATAAGAACATAAAAACAGCCATACTGAGTCAGACCAAAAGACCATCTAGCCCAGTATCCTGTCTTCCGACAGTGGCCAATGCCAGGGGCTTTCAGAGGGAATGAACAGAACAGGTAATCACCAAGTGATCGATCCCCTGTCGCCCATTCCTAGCTTCTGGCCAACAGAGGCTAGGGACACCATCCCTACCCATCCTGGTTAATAGCCATTGATGGACCTATTCGCCATGAACTTATCTAGTTCTTTTTTGAACCGTTATAGTCTTCGCCTTCACAACATCCTCTGGCAAAGAATTCCACAGGTTAACTGCACTGTGTGAAGAAAAACTTCCCTTTGTTTGTTTGAAACCTGCTGCCTATTAATTTAATTTGGTGAGCCCTAGTTCTTATTCCTTATTTACTTTCTCCACACCAGTCATGATTTTATAGACCTCTATCATATCCCCCCTTAGTTGTCTTTTTTCCAAGCCCAGAAGTCCCAGTTTTATTAATCTCTCCTCATATGGAAGCTGTTCCATGCCCCTAATCATTTTTGTTTCCCTTTTCTGTACCTTTTCCAATTTCAATATATGTTTTTTGAGACAGTGCGACCAGATCTGTATGCAGTCAAGATGTGGGTGTACCATGGATTTATATGAAGGCAATATGATATTTTCTGTCTTATTATCTACCCCTTTCTTCATGATTCCCAACATTCTGTTCACTTTTTTGACTGCCACTGCACACTGAGTGCATGTTTTCAGAGAACTATCCACAATGATTCCAAGATCTCTTTCTTGAGTGGTAACAGCTAATTTAGATCCCATCATTCTATATGTATAGTTGGGATTATGTTTTCTAATGTGCATTACTTTGCATATATTAACATTTAATTTTATCTGCCATTTTGTTGCCCAGTCACCCAGTTTTGTGAGGTCCCTTTGTAACTCTTTGCAGTCTGCTTTGGACTTACAAAACTGCTCAAGAAAGTTTTCTGCAAATTTTGCCACCTCACTCTTTACCCCTTTTTCCAGATCATTTATGAATATGTTGAATAAGACTGGTCCCAGTACAGATCCCTGGGGGACACCACTATTTACCCCTCTACATTCTGAAAACTGTCCATTTATTCCTACCCTTTGTTTCCTATCTTTTAACCAGTTACTAATCCATGAAAGGACCTTCCCTCTTATTCCATGACAACTTACTTTGCTTACGAGCTTTTAGTGAGGGACCTTGTCAAAGGTTTTCTGAAAATCTAAGTACACTCTATACACTGCATCACCCTTGTCCACATGTATGTTGGCGTCCCCAAAGAATTCTAGTAGATTGATGGGGCATGATTTCCCTTTACAAAAACCATGTTGACTCATCCCCAACAAATTGTGTGCATCTATGTGTCTGATAATTCTGTTCTTTACTACCGTTTCAACTAATTTGCCTGGTACTGAAGTTAGGCTTACTGGCCTGTAATTGCCGGGATCGCTTCTGGAGCCTTTTAAAAAAATTCCTAGAAGTTACAGGCATACCTCCAACACGGAGAGTAAAAGCCAGATACAGCACTGCAGTAGACATTTTTATATGTACAGTCCAGGATACAGTAGCCAAGTGTCTGATCACCTGCTTTGTGGATTCTTGCTGTTGCTACAGATTCACAGACAACAATTCTGCTCCATGCTCTGACTGGCCTCTAGTTAATTTCTAAGTACAGTTTAAGGTGTTGATTTCAATTTATAAAGCCCTAAAATATGCAAGGTCCTGGTTACCTTGGAGACCTCTTTACAAATGATAAAGCCGTTTCAGGAAAGGATTATCAATGGTGGAATTTGCTTCTCCCATTCATTCTCCAAAGCATGGATTTGCCGGCCTTTGGATAATATTGATTCATTCATCTGTTCTCCCACGATTTGGGTGATTATTTAAGCTGGGTTGGTGGGAGACCCTGTTTCAAGCTATGGAAGCATGAGACGACTGTTATGCATTATGTTTTATAAAGATTGTCCACGTGCCCAGAACATCAGATGTTGCATTTAAGTTGAAATAAGCAGGCAGAAAAAGGGTCAAGCACAAAGAGGACATAATTGGAGTGTTTTATATTAAGATGCGTTTCTTATCCTACATTACAATAGGTAGGTAAGCAAAAAGTCAGTAGTCCCTGGTAGCATAAAAAGTAAGTTAGAGAAAGCAGCCCTAGAACAGTTGTGGACTAGTCTCAGCTTGTAACAGAGCAGCCCTCAACACACAGCAGTCCAACATAAGGATGGGCTTAGAAGCCTAAGAGTCACACTCGGGCAAATCTGAATTCAGACCTCCAGTGCCATTATACTGGGAGAATAAAATTTTCAGTTTATGGGCATTCAGACCTAAAGATTGCTATGCACATCAATGTGCCATACCACTTTACTTCTATAAACATCTTCAACCCTTGTGTAAGCAAGTAAATAAGGCCTTTATGAGCCTTCTGACATGGTAGTGCTACTTTATACATGCTGGTATCTCCTGGAATAGAAGCAACTAATTAGGATTAAAAGGAAAGAAGCGCTCGCCAAAAAGAACTTGCTCTCTGTTCTTCTTTGTTGTCCAGGGTCACTTTTTGATAGCTGTGAGGAACATAGGCAACCAAGATAATCTGTTTATGTTATTATGAGGCTATGCTCACTTTTGCCTGAGAGCTTTTTTTGTGTGCTTGCTAAGTATATCTTTGTCATTTGATTTGCTTCTAGGTATGCTAATATACGTTTAGTTTGGTTTAAGAGCAGCCTAGTGAGGAGCCTACTTCTGTTAGTCTTTAAGGTGCCACCGGACTCCTTGCTATTTTTGTGGATACAGACGAACACGGCTACCCCTCTCATACTTGGTACTTCTGCAGTGTGTCTTTAAACTCATCATTGCTGGTAATGGCAATATGAAAGCAAATAGCAAGTGGTTTATATATATATTATATATATTATACACACACACACACACACACAGGTCTGAGCAATTTTCATAGATTTACAGGCTGATTTTGGACCTCTGAAGACAATGGAGGTTTGCAACTGA